GAGAGTTTTCCGCAGCGCGCAAACTTGCAGAATTTTTGAAGACGTGAATATTAGCCAAAAGAAAAATTTTGGGATCTCGTATCAGGGTGTTTGATATTAGGGCAAGACCTAGGTCCAATCACAGTTTTAAGGGGGTGCGATTACTACTTCGGCTTACGTTTCCCGTATTGATTTTGACCTGATTTCGTCCCACTTTAAAGTCCGCGATACGTTCTCGGCTTACACGACTTGTATGGTAGGAATCTAGAATCTCCGAAAGTGCTGACCAAAATTTTGGATTTATTTTATAACGCTATTACCCTTGTGTCGGGTGTATGAGATATATCTCTATGAGATGGCTAAGTCTGTTTAGGACAGTTAAGAGTTTGTTGTGATCAGCAACAAACTTAGGTGGTAGATATTACCATTTGGATTCTTCGCGAAGGATATATGTTTGAGAAGATGTTATGGCGTATGAATTCCAAGATTGTATTTTTATCGAGGAAGGTATTTTTGTCGAAAAGGGTTCTTCAGATGACTGCGATGTCTCGCAATGCTGAAGATTGGTTTTTCTTTTGTATACCGGGTTTCGTGCTTCAAATGTTTGCGGGCTTAAAGATGTTCCGCGGTGTTGCAAGGGTTTTGCCTTAACCTTGCGTTGGAGGAACATCTTGGTTTATTTGCGGATGTTTGCAGTCAAAACTGTTGTTCGGGTTTGGATGTGAAGTAGTTTGATTCATTATAGAAGAACTAGAACCAAGGGGTCGTGTAGATTTTTCCCTAGGAAGAACCGTCTTTCTTCAGAGTGCTTTGTGAAGTGTTGCCACACGTCGGATTTTGTAGGTAAAGCGCTGTGGAATTAGACTGAATTGTGGGCATACAGAACTTAGTCGATTGTTGAAAAGTTTAAAATATCTGTTAACCGGTTTGGCTGTTAGGACTGAGTTTTGTTATGAAGAATTATTGTATGATTACCGGTTATGGGTTATATGATAACTATTTGCTTAATTGTCACTTAGCATTTTTAGACAAATCGTGGATCGTCATTTAGCCGCTAAGCGATCAAATGGAGTAGTGGTCACTCAAGTGTTTTGGCTAGGCGTGAAGGTTGTGTTTAGCCGCATAGCTGAGGATGTAGTTGGTAAAGGATTAGACCACGACCCTTTCGTGCTATCAATAAGGTCAAGTCGGTTTGAATTTTCCATGATGCCGTAATCTGGTTTGGTTTCAAAGAGAATGCGTAATTGGCCGAGGGACAAATAGCGTTAGTCCAGATTGATAGGCCAAGTATGCCGGAACATTCTGTTTTAAGATGGCCCATGGTTGTAGAAACGACTTTAGGTTTCAGTTATACAATGAATATTTCGCATATAGTCGCATGAAAATTGTTTCCTTTTTATCGGAGGGAGACAAAGCTTAAGAGTACGTTGCAAGGGTATTTCCTGCTTGGATATATCTGAGGGAAGTGAAACTTAGAATTCAGCGATCTATGATGATAGTAAATCGGTTCCGTCAAAGTATTTCCGCAGATTTTACGAGACCCTCTTCTGCTTTATTTCGATCTGTGGCGAGATTTCCTTGGAATCACTCATATGGGTTTTACGAAGATTATTTTGTTATGATCTGGTCGTGAGAACGTTTTCGATGCTTTTACGTGACTCACTAGGTTCAGCGGAAACTGAAAGCAATGCTTTGGTTGTTGAAGATTTCTTGTATAATTTTTTATTTTTATACGAAAATTGTTTTATTAAGTCAAAAAAATCTTCTAGACTTTGGCTAATCGTCGAGTTTCAGTTTGATGTTGGTACAGGTTTTCTAAACACAAGATTGCGACAAGAGATACTGTGTATTCCTTGAGATTATGTTTATGATGGTGTAGCTATGTTGCTAGCGTTTTGCGATGATGAGGAATCACATCGTCAAAATATTTTTCTGCCTACTGCTGTGAGAGTTTACTTTGTCGAAACCGTTTTCTTGATGCGAGTCAAAATGTTTTCTTTTTTTTTAAGTATGGGAGTATAAGAGTAGAGTAGACGTACCTACCCCTCCTTTTTATGAAATAAAATGGATGAACTGTTCTTTCGAAGGATTGTGTACATTTGTTCTTTCGAGGATTTGGGACGATCGACAATCTGGGTCGATTTTAAAGACGACACTGGATAGATGATGACTTAGAATATGTCGGTTTTAAGAAAATTTCTAGGAACGAGTTGGTTTTAAGACGATATTCGTATCACTAGTTCTTTCGTTCTTTAAGAAGCGAGTTGAGTTTGCATGGTTATCGTTTCTCGGTTTTGTGAGAGTTTAGATCGGTTTTGCAAGATCTGCCTAAGAAGTTAAAGAAAAATAGATCGAGATAGGAAAAGTCACCTAAGACTTTGTTCGCTAGACTATCCACAATATTCTAAGTTCCCTAAAGGCTACGGCAATCCTGAAAGCATTTTTTTCAAATTTCTTCCTATGAAAACTTATAAATTTGATTTAAGAAAATTTCAAGTCGTGATACATTAGTTTTCTCGAAGATTTGGGTCTGCCCCTTCTCCGTTTTACTTACTCGTTTCCTCTTCCTTTTCTTGAGTCTGTTTGCCCTTTTCGATATTGGTGTTTATCCTTTTTAACTTGACCTTCCGAACTTGACTTATATCTTCACCTTAGAAACAACGTCAATTTTTATAAAAAGGTTCAAATTACTCGTATAGTTGAGGCGGCTAAGGTGTTAAGTTAAGTATTGCCATTTTTACGATCAATTTGAATTCATGCGAGAAAGTCTTTCCGTTTTTATCGTAAAGTTCCAATGGTAACTCCAATCGAGACGAAAAAAAGAGGCGTTTCAATTGAGATTCGAAGGAGAACGCAAAAAAGGACGTAAGGGCGAGTAGGATTCTCAAGTGGGCGAGTAGGATCAAGCCAAGGAGTTCGGCGAGTCTTACTTGTTTTCGTTGTAAAATCTCACCGGAAACTCCGACTGAGACGAAACAAAAGGGTTTCGATCGCAATTCAAAATAGAACGCGAAGGAGGAGACCTTTGGGGTCTGACAGATCGCTATGTAGCGACCTGGACTGGTACGGGACTGGTCGCTATATAGCGACCTGGTCCGTGGTCCGACCGGTTGCAACATAGCGACCTGGTCTGTATGCGACTGGTCGCTACGTAGCAACCTGGTCCGTGGTATGATCGATCGCTACGTAGCGACCTGGTCTGTACAGGATCAGTCGCTATGTAGAGACCTGGTCTGTATGGGACTGGTCGCTACGTAGCGACCTGATATGTGGTCTGACCGGTCGCTATGTAACGACCTGGTCCATAAGGGACTGGTCGCTACGTAGCGACCTGGTCCATACGGGACCAGTTGATACGTAGCGACCGGGTCCGTGGTCTGACCGGTCGCTACGTAGCATTCTCACAATGTGCCGTATAGATCCGCAGTGGTCAGAAATATGTCACTAGCTTTCCTGGCGTCATTGATTCCAATAGCTATTGGGTACTATATCCTCTTGCTTTAATCGTTGCTTATTTACAGAAGATCATGTTTTAGACAGAGTAGAACAACTTAAAAATGAAATCTGTGGATTTTAGAACGAAACATATCAACTAGCATTTGATTTTGACGCTATGGTTTAATGAGTTACTAGAGTTTGACCCGCGCGTCCGCGTGGGTGTTTGATTTTTATTATTGCATAGATTCAGTTTTTTAGTATTAATCAGCTTAATTGTTTAAGTTCATGTTATATGTTATTCGGTTTGCCATTTGTTTATCTCTTCAATATGTTTAACTTCTACGCTTTAGAGCACCTCCAATGGTGTTACCCACCATTGGAGTCCTTATGATTAAATTAATATTTTTTATTTTTTGGAGAATAGTTAAGGATCCTAATGAGAAATATATCTCCAATGGTGTTTCTATTATGGAATCCTTAAGTATTAGAAAAAATAAAATTGTAAAACATGTAAATTTAAAACATCACTAGGATGTAAATTTACAGTTTATAGTTTTGGTATCAAGCAAAACATGAGTACTCTGTGAAAAATGCTTACTTCTGTCTCTTCTTCTCATTTCACTCTAAAATGTCATGTTCTGTCCTAGCTTATTGCAGGTACATATCCTATTCCAAGCTCATACACGCAACCAAAAACAAAGATGGGAACTTGATTCTGACCCATTCAACAATAAAAGAGTCACCTTGGTAATAGAAGCTCATCGACTCAAGAAAGAAGATGGTACCTGGCATTGTAGGGACAAGGAAAGGTGACCGTTTTAGAGCAGGAGCAATCTCAGCAGTACCACTCTTCCGTACCAAATCCAACAAATCCTTATTCTTAATGCTCGAAGGAATACCAAAACAATCAATTAGCAGAATCAAATCCCTGGCAACAAAAATGAACAAAGCAGATGCGCAACTTCCTCCATACGAATATGTTCCTAGCCAATATCCCTAGTTTCAGCACATCACACCACTTACCAAAATTGTTAACGTAAGTAAGCACACACTTAAAAACGTAATGGTTCTATGAAAGTGACAGAACACACATAAAGACAACTGTCTGAAACACACACTTAGTCTCAATTAGTCTCAAGCCTTGGTTCTAAAGCACACACTTAGTCTCATAAACTTTGTATATTTCATACAAAATCATGCTATAAAAAATGACAGAACACACATAAAGACAACTGTCTGAAACAGAGAACAATCCAAGGCAAGGTATGTGCTTTTCCTGAAATTTTAAGAAGAGAACCACCAAGGAAACTTATACAACTCCCATATGATTTAAGAGCCCAAGAACAATTAATTACCCCAAGACGAAAAGCAATACCATTGCGCCGATAATCATTAGCAAGAACCTTGGTAGCTTCAAGGACTTCCCACATAGAGGATCCTGAGGTTATCACAGCACAGACTACAGCACCAGCAGAAGCTCCTGCTAATGGAGTAGTGTCCTGAATCAAACAACACAACCATCAAAAACCTACCTTTCCTTGATTCATCATATAAAGACAGAGAATTCAAGAATCACCTTGATGTTAAGGGAACAAAAGACCAGCAGCAGAGAAGCTAAACCCAGGGCTTGTAATGATCCTCCTCTCTTTCTCAGCCTCCACGTCTTTAACCCTTTGTTCCCATATCATCGCTGGATCAATCTCATCGCCATGTAGAGAAGAGAGATCGCCATGGAGAGAAGGGTCACACTCAGATCGCCATGGCAACCGGGGTGGTTGTTTCTGCAGAAGCATCATTCCGCGGAGGAGGAGAAGATTCGGCGGCGATGCCTTTACTCTTGAGATTGGAGTCGATGTAATCCATGTGGTGTCGCCGGAAATTCTCCCCGTTGTTGAGATTGATGTTTCTGGTGTCTCTGTGGAATCGTCGGCGATGATGGTTGATCCTCCGTCATAGGTGGATGATGAGGAAGAGAGTTGATGTCGTTGATGTCTTGGGAGACGAAGGAGAGAATGAGTGCCACGTAGATAAGGATTCAATCCTTCTAGTCCCTAATTAAGGATTGCTCCTTAATAAATGATGTATTATCGATTTTCTTTTAATTTGATTTATCTAGGATTTGCTGCTAAGGATTTGTTAAAAACCCCCCCATTGCACCTGCTCTTATAAGTTACTAGTGGTGTGCCGGCGCTACGCGCCGGATTCATATATGTTATTATAAAAAAAGTTGAGATTTATTTTGTGGCCTTAGTGAAGAGATTATGTTCAGAAATTGGACGTTGTAACTATGTTGAAGACAATGATCTTTTCTGATTAGTAGTGGAGTAGCGTAAGTGGTTGTTATTAATCGAAACAAATAAAAATAGAGTAAAAATTCGATAGACTTTACAAAGTTAATTTAGTAAATACTTAAACATAAAATACAGTTCATGTTTGTGAATGAAAAATGTAAATAGTTGTGTGTTGTTTTGTGATTATGTTGTTTCAAGGAAGATAATATAGAGTTTTGTCCTCTTAAAATAGTAACAATCCTATACTGATCGTTTATATCCTATACACAAAATAGTAACAATCCTAGATTGATCGTTTATATCTTAAACGTCACCATTCTCGTGACCGATTAGATCAAGTCCCGTGAGCATATGTAGATAATCAGAGATACAAAAAGGCGAACTTAAACCCTAATGCTTCAAACATAGCTTCCATATGCTCAATATCCTCTGCCGTTGGTCCACCTTCAGGTGCGGTGTTTTTAGAGAACGTTCTTGTCCCGAGCATAAGTTTCTTGATAGCATTGCCACAGTAGTGTATCAAAGAAATCTGATCGGATATCCAAAGCACTTGAACCTCTTAATCTTATTCCAGCAGCGATTGGATTTTGATAGTGTGTGTTCCTAGTCAAGGATATCAAAGAAATATTTTTCTTTCTTTGAGGTTTCCTCTGCACAACATTACTAAACCACAAAGATACATACCCTTATCGTATTTTCCATAAGCAGATTGGCATATGTGAGGTGATTAAGTGCTTTGACTGATTTGTGGTGGAAGAAGTACTGATTTATTCCCTCACTATTAAGATGAGTTTCAGCTGATAGGTGTTCGATATGGGGGGGAAGGGGGCTGGTGTGCGTGGTAGATATTGCTCTTGTAGCCAAGGCTGCCGTGGTTTAGATACTGGAGGAACAAAGATTAAAGGATAGGAATAAGTACATAAATTTCTTTACAAAAGAGTAAGTTGTCAAAGTCATAAAGAATAAGTTTACGTCTCCTTTGAACCAAATTTTTTTCTTTTGATGACTTCTTTTGGTTACAGATGATGATGATGCGGTGGAGTGTTCAGAAACACTAAGATTTTTTTGGAGATCTCCCTGTGGTTGCTTTGCCATTAAATTCAACTGGCGTCTTCACCATTATTTCTGAAAATCGCAATTAAGAATCAAGAGGTTGCATCAGAAATGTGTAGTGAAAGTATGTAGGAGATACGTAACTACTGGCTTTTGAAATTACACTGCATTTACAGTGTGAGCTAATCATTCAGTTGGGAGGCGTGTAGGCACCCTCCAACGATAAGATTTAATTTGTAAGGTGGTTATAGCTTCTTAAATCCAATTTTTTTTTGTTATTTTTAGCAGTTTGTTATTTATAAATTTGTCTTCTAAGCGTATAAAATGTGTCAATATAGGTTATACAAGTTCTGAAATGTGTCTAATCTTTTATGAGAGGTGCAAGTGTTCATAATTTTCTGTAATGGTAACTTCTTAATTTTATTATTTTGTGTTAATTATTATCAGTTTGTTACTTATAAATTTCCCATCTAAAACCTTGTATATGTGGCAATCATTTTTTTGAACAGATTTTTATATATGTGGCAATCATAAACCAAAGTGATATAAGCTCCGACTTTTGTTTAAACAAAGTGATATAAGCTCTGCTCTTTGTTTATTCTTTTAGAAGTTGTGCAAGTGTTCATTAGCTCTGTAGTTTGTCTAATCTTATATGAGTTATGAAAGTGTTCATAATTTTCTATGATGGTATCTTCATAATTCTATTAATTTGTATTAATTATTATCATTTGTTACTTTAAATTGTGTACTCTAAAACGTCAAAGATGTTGCAATATATGTGATACAAACTATGCACCTTGTTTAGTTATAAGCTGTGAAAGTGTTAATTATTTTATATGAAATATAAAGATGCATGAGAGCAAATTTTACAATGAGGTAAAAAAAATCTTTACAAAAAGGTGACTGTCGGTTTGATTTCTGAAACCTAAGGTAAGAAGACGACTTAACGGACTGAGAATGTGTGTAAATCTTTAAAAGAAAATTCTGCAAGTTGGGTAATACATAAATCATTCTATAACTTGTCATTATATTTTAAAAAGCCCAAACCCATTTTGTCAAAAAAAAAAAATCAAAAAATTAGAATGTGACAAACCGAGATGAGAAGAATTAATTTTGTCCGGTTTGATTTCAATTAGTAATTGCTGACATGTTTTTTTTTGCCCCATGTTCTAATGCTGATGTGGAGGCTTGAGAAGTGAGAAAAGTCAACTTTATTGTATAAGATGAATTGGTATATCTTTTGTGAGTTACCGTCTTTTGTTCATTTTATTTACAGTTACCTATGATGATACATTGCAAATGGACTTTTAGTCCAAGTCAATATATTGTTTTTTCTTTCCGAAGAAAAATAGAAACATATGCTTTCTATCGACTTTTTCATTCCTTTTGAGCGTTATGTATCTCATATCATATCTCTTTGTCTGCAGCTGACCCTTGTTTGGCGAGTGTTTTCTAAAAAAATGAGAGACATATCAAAATCTTTACTATAAAAGATATCACAATTGATATATAATATATCTTTCTTTCAAAATTTAATAAATATCCCTTTAATTTTTTTTGTTAATGAATATTGGTTAGTTAATACTCTCTCGGTATCACAATAAGTGGATTTCATGATTTTTGCACACAGGCGAATTTTTTTAAAATTATTTAATTTTTCTCATTTGCATAAAACCAATAATAATTACACTTAGTTCAACAAATAAAATACCATACTGCAAAATACAAATGATCAAAAATATTAAATTACATTTATTTTTACATAGAAACTTTGAAAACATCACTTAAAATGAAACATTTTTTAAAAAACAAATACCACTTAAAATGATATAGAAGGAATATAATGTATAATAAACTTGATTGTCATGTTATAAATTCGAATACACGAATTTTGAATAATAAATATTTGATTCCTTTCTTTCTAATAGAGAATCATATACAATTAGTCAGATAAAAGAATTAGATATGTTAGCGAAAAGTATCTCAAAAATTTAGGAATTTGTTAGAATAGTAGTATTTGTTTATGGATTCATACTTGATTTATGGGAGACAACATTATTTTAAAAGTTTATACCTAAAAAGAGTAATTGTTTTTTTTTAATATCTTTGTATCATTCCTTTTTCATCTCCAACACTGTTTTATCTAAATGATGTATCTGTATGAAAGAACAAAGAAGAAATGAATATAAAGTTAATCTTTTGGAGTTTGTTGTCCGGTGGTTGTGATTTGGAGAATGTGTAATGGAATTGAAGGAGTCACTTTTGTTTTGTGGAATATATGTACTTGATTTTACATATTATTACACAAACTCTAGCTGTTATATAAAAAAAGAATTAATGATGTTATAACAGAAAAAAAATCGAACTATAAAGAAGAACAAAACAAAGACGACACATATAAGACCACCTGCAATGTAGGATTTAATCAAATCCTTAGCATGTATTCTTAGGCAAATCAGATTTAAATAATAGTATTTAATTTTTATAAAATTAAGGAATAGTCTTTAACTAAAGAATTTAAGTATTTGATCCTTAATGATGTGGCAACGCCCGATTGTTAAAATTTTTAAATTTTTTTTTAAAAAATTAAACCTTAAGACCTAAAACCTAACTCCTAAACCCCATAACTCTAAACTCTAACTCAGATTAGTTAACCCAAGGGGTATACATGTGTTTTTATACTTTTTAATAAAATCTATTTTAGTCATTTTTTTCCTTATATGCTATATTTGTGAAAAAACCATTTTAGGCATTTCTAAGTCATTTTCTCATAAAAGTTTTAATTTCACATGTTTTAAAATATAATATTTTTTTTCCTAAAACTCTAAAATGAAGAACACTATTGGACGAACACTTTTGATTAGAATCATTAACTATTCGAAAATAAAAAAAATTAGTTTAATAATGCTAAGGATTTCAATGGTGGTAATACCATTGGAGATGCTCTAACAAAAACAATGACGAACTATTAGTCAATAAAACAGACTCTGTCTTCTCTCCCACTCTTCAACATCGTAACAAAACCTATAAAAAGTGCAATAATGGTTAAAAGGAAAGATTCGTGGTTAAGATTGTTAATTAATTCTGATTTTGGTAATGTTATTGAATTGACGTGATTCATGATTAACTAATATGTAATGTTTGGTTAACTATTTAAATTAAATTTAAATGGTTTAATTTAAGTATTAAACATAGTTTAGGATAATGGCATAGACTTGTAATTATTGAGGAAAACTCATGGTTATTTTAAAAGTGTATTTCAATTTTAATAGATTAGATGGTGGAGTAATGAAGCTGATGTGTTATCGTATAGTTATGAAGAGAAAAAACTATACAAATGCATATGAAGTTGGCAATTTAAAAAAAATGTACTATGTTGGAAACGACCTCAGATTCATTATATAGATAATATTTATAAGGTGAAACTTCGTCCAGAAGAATATATTAAT